TTTTCTATAGAGAGCTGGAGATATGTTAGTGAAAATAATAAGGTCGGCAATGCAAATGGCAAGTTAGGCAAAGCAAATGGTAAGGTAGACAATACAAATGATAAGGTAGACAATACAAATGGTAAGGTAGACAATACAAATGGGAAGGTAAGGCTAAGCAAGTTGTAGGGTATTGCAGGCAATTTAAGACTGGCTTAAACTGCTCAAGAAAAGATTTCCAAAACAAACCTATAATTTAGAGTTATTTGTTTTGGTAACTGTGAATGTTATCCAAATCAGGTTAGCCATTGACTGCTTTTATACGAGTATGGTATACGTATTTTTAATTGATATTGGGTGGTTGGCTGCCAATTATCTGTTGGTTTTTGGGGGGAGTGGGTGGGTTGCGGGTTATAGAACTGAAACAACGATGTAGGAATATATTCTTACAAAATTGAATGGAAATTTAAATACAGTTGAGAAGTTATAGTTTGATAAGAAAATTAAAAATCTTTTTATGTTGTCATTATTATAATGTTAGGCTGAATAATTGTACCTTATATATTCAAAAGTGAATGCTTTCCTATGATGGCTCATTTGGGTAAATTTTGTATCATTACATATACGCAACGTCTTGGATCTTTTCAGATATTAAAGATGACCAATATTACAGGAACAAAGGTTATTATTATTATTATTATTATTAGTAGTAGTAGTAGTAGTAGTAGTAGTAGTAGTAATAGTAGTAGTAGTAGTAGCAGCAGCAGTAGTGGTGGTGGTAGTAGTAGTAGTGGTGGTGGTGGCGGTGGTAGTAGTAGTAGCAGTAGTAATAGTGGTGGTGGCGGTGGTAGTAGTAGCAGCAGTAGTACTAGTGGTGGTGGTGGTAGTAGTAGTAATAGCAGCAATAGTGGTAGTAGTAGCAGTAATAACAGTAGTATTAGCAGTAGAAAGTTGTAGTTACAATTACAAATTGGAAATTTAGTTACAATTACAAATTGGAAATTATAAGTACATCTTTCGACCAGTATCAAATGCTGCAAGAATTATTATTATTATTAAAATTATTATTATCATTATTATTATTATTATTATTATTATTATTATTATTATTATTATTATTATTATTATTGTTATTATTATTGTTGTTGTTGTTATCATTATTATTATTTACAGCAACATAATATCAAACTTAATTTTTCTTTTCTAGAGGTTAGAAATACATAGTAGAATCACCTTTTACAACAGTTAAGCATAATAAGGTTAGCAATAATGTAAGCATAAAAAATGTGAGCATAATAATGTAAATATAATAATGTAAGCATAATAATGCAAATATAATAATGAGAGCATAATAATCTATACAGTATAATGGAAGCTTACTATTGTAAATATAATAATGTAAAAATAATAAAGTAAGCATAATAAGTATAATAATTTAAATATAATAATAAAAGCATACAATGTAAGCATAATATTAGTAGTATATTATTGTAAATATAAAAATGTAAATATAATTGCAGAAAATAGAGCTGATATTCTTTAAAGATGAAATTGGCACGTTATTGACAGTAATTATCATATAATTAGAGATACATATTACATAAACTTATATAGGACATAATTATATACAATTATTACATAACCATAAAAACATAATCAGGAACACGTATTACATGTACAAGAATATAATTAGAAATACATATTGCGCAGCTATATAAGAACATAATTAGGAATATATTATATAACCATATAAGAATGTAACAGACATGCGTATTTCATAGTCATGAACATAATTAGGAATATTTATTACATAACCACATGAATGACATACAACACGTACTATGTAATTATATAAGAACATAAATAAGAATATATAATGTATAACCATATATACATGACATAATTAAGAATGATCATTACATAACCGTGTATATTACATAATTAGGAATACTTATTACATAACCAAAATCATGCCATAATTATAAATATGAGTTGCATAACCATATATACATAACATAATTAGGAATACTTATTATATAACCATATACACAACAAAATTAGAAATACGTATTAAAAACAGTAATTTAAGACAGTAAGATTGAATTTAAGGAAGTATAATAAGAAGAAAAGATATTTTCTAGCTGTTTTAACTTTCAAATCCTTCTTCATAATTTTCAAAGGAAATCGTGCAAAAATTAGAAATGCCCAAAACAAGTTTTAAAAATTTTAAATCTTGTAATGAAGGATGCGAAATAGTTTGATATTTATTTTTCATCTTTTGTATGTCAAAATGCAGTTTTGATGTGATAATCATGAGTAATTTAAATGTATTTCTTTCTATTGAACAAAAAGAGATAATTTTTGCTCTCAAGATCAAGCTGACGTCATCAACATTCTTTATCGTTTCAATACACTCACCGTCTATAAAAGTTAGGGTCAACTAAAGAAAAATTTGAAGACATGGATTTGGATTCGGAGTACAAAAATGGAATGTCTGTAAAATTTCACGCGCAAATAGATTGCCTAATCTCGACAGATGCTTTTCTGCCTCTGCAATACACATTTCTGTCATTAGCAGTACTTGCACAATAAATTTACATCAGCAATGATAACAGTATATCAGTATCAATCGCCTGTAGATTTTCTCCGTTTCCTTAGATTAATGCCTGTAAATTGGACAGAAATAACAAACTCTCTCCAAACTCAGACTTAGGTAAGACATATGCTTTTAACCAGATGGCAGGTTATTTACATGAAACACCGGCATCTTGCGGTTCTATGTTCACTCTGTTTAACAACACAGGAAAGCTTCTTCCCCAATATTGTTTGTATCATATCTTTTAAAAGTCTTTGTTATGACTCCGACAGTGCCATACCTACGTACCTACCTACGTACCGACGTACCTACCTACGTACAAGACATACATACATACATACATACATACATACATACATACATACATACATACATACATACATACATACATACATACATACATACATACATACATACATACATACATACATACATACATACATACATACATACATACATACATACATCCATGCATGCATTATATATATATATATATATATATATATATATATATATATATATATATATATATATATATATATATATATATATATATATATAATGGTCTTGTAATACCATGCTAAATAAATGTTCTATCCATAAATCTTCCAAGGCTAGCCACAACTAAAACGACATGTATCATTTTCCACTTAAATTATTTCCAGCCTATGGTTGCCAACAGACAGTCTATACATCAATATAAAATTGCTGAAGTTTTGGAATTATGCTGCACGTGTAAGCCTTATGTCATAAATATGAGCAGAAACGACAAATATTACTTGGTGTAATTTGTCTGCTAGTCAATTTGTTATTAAAAATACACTTGTTCACTGTAAACCTCTTGATCTCCATCTTCTACTCCTAGACGAATGTTCGTCTAATTTAACTTACATCGCTCTCCGTGGTTTACATAGAACACACTGTAACAGAATTCCTCATCATTGTAACTGGCACCTTTAAATTAATGATAGAAAACATGTAGCCTTTATTCGGAATCATTTCAATTATCCTGCTTGTTACATAAAGTTCTACTGAAATACCATCGTCCGCAGCATTAACGATGGAGACAGCTAAGCAGACAAGAGAAAGTGTGACACACAGATCGAACATTTATGTGCAACTTATGCCCGTTATTATCTGCTTGGAAGAAAAATGACGTCCTAGAATTGTTAAAATTATCATGTTTTACCTAGGAAGTATCTGTCATGCCCATTTTGATCGAATGATTGTAGCCTAAATATATTAATGAAATATGTGTGATTTAGTAACTTTGTGGAAAGCGAGAGCAGGAGAAAATTTATGACAGTCAATGTGCAAGCGTAGCTATGTGACTTTCTATGAAGCTCAAAGGATCTGGATAACTTATTTAAAGAGTATGTCTTTGGTGACAAGTACCTAGCTGGCCCAAATGGAACGTTCATCATCCTGATGGTAATTTTCCATATTGCTTTTTCTTAATTGCTTTTTCAGTTATTTGAGTGAGAGAAGAAAATAAGGTCCGTCCTAACAACGGTATTATTCCCTGCAAGGCGTTCAGTCTACCTAAATTTGTCATTCTTAACGTCGTGACGATGTAAATGCTTGGCATAAAATTTACTTCGAAAATCAATAACTCAAAATTAAAATCGTTCTTTTAAACAAAATTAATGTAAACATTCAGCTAATAGGATTAGATATGTTTCTCTCTCTCTCTCTCTCTCTCTCTCTCTCTCTCTCTCTCTCTCTCTCTCTATATATATATATATATATATATATATATATATATATATATATATATATATATATATATATATATATATATATATATATATATATATATATATATATATATATACATATATAAATAATTATATATATATATTAATATATATATATATATATATATATATATATATATATATATATATATATATATATATATATATATATATATATATATATATATATATGTGTGTGTGTGTGTGTGTGTTTATAAGAACATTAAGGTAAATTAAGGTAAGCAGGTTTTTGGTGGGCCTCTGTGTGATATGATTATAAATTATAATAACACATTCTGCTGATATCATTTTGTTTTTCTAAAGTCAGTTTCAGACACCGTTTATTTACAGCAAGTTCAGAATAGTTGTTGCGTTGCTATACGCAATTTTACTGCTGCAAACGATTAAATGACAAGTAAGAATTGTTGTTCTTGTGTTTGTACAATTTAGTCAAGTTATTACCAATATCTTTTCGTTGCGCCTATATTTATCGAAGTCTTGCTATTTGCTTAATTATGTTAATTATTTGTTCAAGGTATACTTTGCAACGACATTCTGACGCCATTTAGAACGGCAATGTGACTGATTCGTTGTGTACGAACACGAAATCTAAGAGTTACTAGGACTTTTCCAAGTACATCTTTCACCATAATGGACCCAAAAGAGGTACATTCATGGTCGATTAAATGGTTAGCACGTCCGCCTAGGATGCGGGAGGTCGCGGGTTCCATGCCCGGCCGAGTCGTACGAAAGAGTTATAAAAATGCTACTAACATCTGCTTTGCTTGGCGGTCAGCATTAAGAAGTTAGTGTTAAAACTGGTTGGCCTGGTGTCAGAATAATGTGACTGGGTGGGACATCATGCTATATGTCTGCGGCATGATGCAACTGTGCTAGACATCACTATAAAATGCCACACTGGATACACAGTTGCGATATGACTGAATTTTTTTTAAGTTACGTTAAAATCCATATCACTTACACACACACACACACACACACACACACACACACACACACACACACACACACACACACATCTCTTAGTAGAGGCCATTATAACACAAAGATATAATTAAACCCAGGAAAATACAAAACATCTATATTTATATATCATTCGAAATTTTTGTTTCTTGCTTTTGACGGGGATTTTAATTAACTTTTCTAACATGTTTTATGGAGGATATACCACCAACGTGCGCACACTCAAAGGTCGTGTTTTCTTTTCTTTTCTTTTTCTTCAATATTTGTTTGAAGAAATTTAAGAATATTTTCAAAAAATACTCTGTCACTTTGAAAGGTAACAGTGTATTGTTTTATTGCTGGCTGTTTTAAGTGCAATATAATTAGCCGATTTTCATTTCACCTTTGTGTTGAAGATAAGGCGTATCGCTAAAGTAGTCCTTCTATTAATCTTTGTCGCCTTGAAGTTTGAGAAGACGGTAGAGCTTTGGAGATCTTACCACTTGTACTTACCTATCAACCAAAGTAGAAAGAAATAAAGAATATATCTTATACAGCCTCTCGACACGTATCACACCTTTCCAAGAACCTCTTGAAATTTGTCACCCCGTTGAGGTTTGATTCACGCTGTAGGAGCGAGTTGCAAAATAAATTCCATGCTACGGTCAAGTAATGTCATTTCTTAGTCAATTCTCAATCTGAAAGGAAAATGTTTTATAGGATATGATGTAGAATCAGTTCAGAGACTATTTTTAAATTCATCATATTTTCACAAGGAAAACAGATTATCGATTTTCTCTGAATGCCTTCATTATTTTTTTTTGACATATCGTACCTACTCAAGAATATATCGCTTCCAAAATGCAAGCAACATAGATCTGACCTGACGGCGCATTATGATCAGGGTTTACGCTATTTAGTTAATTGTAAAATGCAACATAGGTCTGTATCACCGATTAGTCCTTACAAACTGCGTTGACCCAGATCTAAAGGCGCAGATAATGACATAATGGAAACATATACAAAACGATTTCTTACGAAACGTTTTGTTTATAAAGAAACCTATTGATTTCCTACCAGTATTTTTTCTTCAAAATTAAAATGGTAAATTCTGGATTAATCTTGTAATTTGAAAAACGAATACAATTTCAAATATATTAAATGAGATTATGTTACTAGAAGAATAAATCAAATTTATAAAATTATTGTTTGTTAACATATTACATAAAAACTGTATATATATATATATATATATATATATATATATATATATATATATATATATATATATATATATATATATATATATATATATATATATAGTGTGTGTGTGTGATTTAGTATCAAAATATTATTAACGATTATCTCAATCACACCCCTCATCTGGCTCGATAAAGAAAACTGTCACATTAGAACTGAAAGGTCAAAATTTGTAAATATGCATTCTGGATTTATTGTTATTCAAAACGTACAGCATTTCGGACATCTCAAAACGAATCTCTTAATATGAAGTTTTAAACACGTATGCCACAAAAATGTATAATAACTTTAACAAAATTTTGTTTAACAAGTCACTGGTTTTCCTTTGAAACGGGAAAGGTGACAAACTTTAGATATATTTAGAGAAAAATGTGTATCGTGTGTCTCACAAAAGAAATCCGTAATAATTGTCGCAATCTTTTCGCAATGTCAATATTGTTGTGAAATAAGAAAACAACATGTAACTAAAAAGTAATTTGTTTCTTACTTTAGGTCTTATGTCTGTTATTAAACCTGGGTTGGTAGTACAATTATGTTCTCTTCTTTCATCTAAATTTATCTCATTATGATCTGATACCATCACGACAAACACCTTCAAAGTCAAACTCTGACAGATTTTTGCCCTCGTAAATTATGCATTTCAACAAGAATTCCAAGTTTTGATACCTTTGACTATTAATTATACCATAACTTATTCGTTTTGTTTCTACAAGACTTACTTGCCAGATTTAATCAGGCCAGGTAAGTGGACAAAATCGGCAGAAGACCAGTGTCACAGACATCCATGGTCACAGAACACCAGTCATAAATTTCTTCTACAAATCAAATGGACATCTTCGACAAAATTGTAACGAGAAGTTTCTGTTATGCGAATCCTGTTCAAAATTCTTAATGCGAATGAACGAAACATTTGTCTAAAACTGTACAGGTTGTGAAAAGCAATTTTTTTCCATATAAGTATCAGCAAAACACCAGATTATGGTTTTCATCCTAATAAAATGATATTTATTTTTTTAATTAAGATCTTTAATTAATTATTAATTAAATAATAAAGTTAGCAATAATCTGCTGTGGTTTTCCGCAAATAATTCAAACAGTCTGACTCCTATAAAACAATCAAACGTACAAGATCCTTAATTCCTTGATAAATATCATCTATGGGGTGTGCCTACTCCGTTTATGAATAAGAAAGAAAGAACGGGAAAGAACGATTAAGTTATCTGAAAAGATATTATGTGACCTGCTGAAATACAAAATCGAGAAGAAACAACACACGTACTTGTTATAATGATTGTAAGCGTCTTTTCGCGCACCTCACATTGGAGTCACAGACCTGTAAAAGAATATTTCAAAACAGTTGCTGCCTAGCTTCGTCTCTTAGATCGTCGAGAAAGCAGAATTACTGCACCGTTGATGTACGTCTGAAGATACAATCTCTGACAAAAATCTTTGGAATTTGAAATCAATGAACAATTACGCAGCTACAGATAATGAAAAGGAGTAATTAATACCTTGTCTTTTAGGTTGTACTTACATGATATGTCGCTGTTTTCTTTTAAAGTTGGAATTATTTCACATTGTCCACATTTTATAGTCTGAATTAGTGTCAGCTAATTAAGCTAATTACGCTTGCTTTTATAATTGTACATTGTAGCCTAGGTTTGTATCACACTTTCAAGACTAGAATGTGATTAACGATAGTACAAAACAGATGACCAGTTTAAATGCTTGAAAATAGATGTCTTCAAAAAGGAACCTGAGAAAATAATCTCCACGTTTCAATGCGATCAAGATACAGAAACTTTGTATAATGTATTAAACATAAATTCATGGCGTATAGTCAGTCTTTCCTATGATTAAAGTTATTACTACTAAAATAATATATTGGCTGTATCTATATAATAATTAAACTGCTCCATTCTTATGACGCGTTATAAGGTTTAAATGATTGCGATTCAAAGTCAATCACCATTATCTTATTTTGTGACCTATGAACACGAATTTTAACTTGAGACTATACATTTCTCATCATGTAAACCTTAATGAAAGTGTAGTGGTCTTATATCTTACAAGTAGACTTCTTTGTTAAACATAATCCAAAAGGTTAGCTCGACATATGATAGAGGCAACGTAAAGAATAGAAATTGTATTCCTGTTTCATATACAAATGATCGAACTATTTATAAAATAACTTGGATGATATAGCTTTTTTATGACTGGAAAATGAGCAGCATAAGAAAAGATAAAGCATGCAAACATTTAAGAGATGGACCTATATACAGCATAGTAGAACACGCGTATATAAGTGAGATGATTAAGATATGAAATATGCCTACATAGTAACATGCGTGCCCATTTATGCAAGACATTACGCAAGAAAAATCAAAGAAAATGCACACATCACATTCTAATTGTAAAGCCTTTTGTGTCTAGTTTTCCCTATATTTAGGAATTCGTCTGAAAGTTTGCATATGATGCGAGAATCTCCCCTTAAGATCTCCATTTTAGATTAGAACTTGAGAATATGGGAAGTCATAAATGATTAAAATGAAAGTGCTAAGTAATATCAACAGAAAAGTCGAAAATTAGCGGATGCTTCATAAGCCCTATTGCAAAATGTCTTTTTATTTAGATTGGGAATCAAATTAGATATATTTAAAATCAAAATATATTGGCGAGGGGAGAGGGGGACAAATTTATGCTGATACGAGAAAGTCTATTGTTGAATAGCCAAAGGAAACTGACATGGAAAACTGGGACGAGTAAGTAGAAAATCAAATCCATGCCGTTATTCCAAAATTAAGGGAAAAAAAAAGACAAGGCTGTAAAAATAAATTTTCTTTCGAAGCTTGACAGATGAGGAGTACATGATGAATATCGTACAATGCTTTATTTGATTAATGTAATTACAAGAGCTTCCAAAACGACTAGTATTATTAAACTGGTATTATTAACTGTTATTAATGTCGGAATATAAATGAATATATATTTTATAGATCTAATGATGCAGACATACCGTGATGCAATGTAACATTACGTATGATAAAGATAACAGAAAATTCTCGAATTAAGTCGTCTGATGATCATGTATTCCTTTGAAGGTCATATGCAACATACTTTGTAAGATCTATACGTCAGTAAAGCGCCATCCGAGCATCTTACCCAGGAACGGTTATGCTTCATGATCTTGTATTAAATGCTTATACAAACACCCTGAGGAACTCATATAACCTTAGGAAAGATTCTTTTGAACGCCAAGAGAATATTTATTTTTTGCACGGTCCACAATGCTTCTCCATTTGTATATGGAGCAAACCTGCCTACGGAAACGGATACGACGCTTCAAGCAACCACAGCTCAAATGCTCTTTCGTGAATACGTGTATCTTGTTCATATTAAATGTAATTTGAAATTCGCCACAAATTTACACGGATATATCATAAATAAATGCTTTTTATAAATGGGAAAGACAATAAATTTTAAAATATGGAAGTTGGAAGTAGGTTAGCAATGTCTTGTGCAGA